GGACGTTGAAGCCGTTGGCCTTGAGCCACGAGCCGATGAGCAGCGGGTACTTCTGGTCCAGTTCGCAGTAGTTAAATACAGTGTACGGAGACGCTTCGGCTTCCATCTCTTCGAGTTTGCTGAGGGCGAAACTCGCCAGAGTTTGCTCGAATCGAATGATTACCAGCACCGCAGCTGCCGCTTGCTCGGCAGTGTAGCCAGCTAGTTGTAGTACCGACGCAATGTACACCTCGTAGTCGCCTTTCCACGCATTCCAATAAGTGGTGGTGTAGTACACTTGATGCAGCGGCAGAGGGGCTCGTAAACCAAAGAGGGCGTTCTTGGTTGCGTTGGCGTCATCAGGTCTGGCCTTGATGTCCACGAAAGCTGGGATGCCGTACTTGACCAATTCACCAGCCACAGCGAGGAGGTCCAACGTGGTGTTGGCCGACCGAATGGATTTGATCGAGTCGGCTAACGGAGCCAGGCCGAGCGACGAGAGCGTAGCCGTGTCCAAGCACGAGCTGTAAAACGCGCCAATCTTGGTCGTGTTGTCAGACAAAATCTTCTTCACCAGGGCTTCGTTTTGGATGGAGATCTTGTTGGTCGCGGTATCGATTAACTCTCTGCCCGGGGGGATCACAGCATCCTTGAACCACGCACCACACGCGTATTGGTAAAAGTCGTCGCAGGGGTTTGCAGAATAGTCGATGAGCTTGGTCACAGACTCGGGGAGTTCCGTGACGGAGCCAGCCGTAGCGGCAGTGGCCAACGCGCTGAGGAAGATCAGGACTTTGACCATTGCAGAGCAAAAACGGAAGTGAAGTTGGCCAGAAATGTCAACCATTGAGTGAAGACGAGGCATCGGATTCCCATACTAGCTAGCTACGGTACTCGCTGTGATTGGTTTATTCGATACCATCGGAAACTTCTCATCAGAGGGTTCCATTTGGTAGCAGTAAAAAATCATTGACCAAGGTACATCCATCAATCCATGTCGATGAGAATTTGAAGTGGTACTCTGGTCGTAATCGTATTTCGACGAGGTTCTCCTTGATTGCTCTCGTTCTATGTGCAAAATGCCAGTGCATAGACCAATACAAACTTGAATACCGGTAGTACTATGGAAAAGGCGACGATGTATTCCTTGTTGAAGAAGGCATTGTTAAGATTAATTTTCATCGAAACCCAACAATTATATTGCCACTTTACCGAATGATCTATCTATTCCTCTTGTCGGGCAGCGACAGGTAGGCCGTGCCACTTCTGGACGAGGCCTGAATACAATGACCTAGCAATACCCTAACACAATGACCTATGATTATCCTAATCAGGTGTGTGAGATAATTAATACAAGTACTTCGAAGTATAAGGTTGGTTGATGACGTCGGATAAAATCGCTCCATTGAATACAGTAACTTAACCTTATCCAAATTCATACCGGTAATTCTTTTAATTTCCCAAGGTTGGAATCTATATTTAATGCTGTCCTGTACTATTAAAATAGTACAGGACAGCATTAAATACCAGTATAGATTCCAACTATTGTCACTATTAAAATAGTGACTACTCAAATGGATTTCTAAATCCTTGGTAGTATCATGCGTCATCCAACAGCATCCAAACGTCATCCAACATTAATATTTGGCCATATCCTAATTCGTTGAGACGAGAGTAAATAGGAAATGTAGGTCATTTGGTGAAGTGATACGCTTAGATCCGCGCTCTCGTACAGCCACATGTTAACAGTAATATATACTTGAAATTACGCAATCGATTAACAATATTTTGAGAACGAGTGTCGGCTGGTTGTGAAATATCCCCTGTCGCAATACACTACTCCGAGTATACGGTAGACCTAGCGTCGTTGTTGCCAAAATATCAGCAAAACGGCATGCCTATAACGGTAGGTATCTACCATGTACCTTATGGATCAGTCAGTACCCATGATTTTGCCTTATCGAGTTGTAACCCAAATTGCTGTATGGTGTCAATAAAGTACGATTTGGTGGTACCTTGGAAGGCTGTACCCAAGTCGCTTTATATTGGTCAAAAATATCCAATTATCTCGTTCTAGCCAATTAAACAAGTGAAAGTAGATGAAGTAACCAATGCGAACGCATTGGAAAGTAATCAGACCACCTTATTGAGTTGTATCCATTTCGATCAGATTTACTGAAATTTTCGGGGGTACAGATCCATAAGGTATACGGTAGGCTCGCTGACCCGCTAGAAATCTAAACATACGAGGTTGACCAGCTGCACCTAACTCACTCCTTTTCTTGTCATCCTTATTGAACGAGTTGAATGGGGTGCGTTTGTGGCTGGGATATACTTACGGTTAATACTTTCTATCGGGTAGTATTGAACAGCATTAAATATTAATTCCAACCTTGGGTAATTACTAGATTCGAATTACCCGTGTGAATTTGGATATTCAAAATCAGCGATCTTTATCAATTCTCATCGAGATGTATTGGTGGATGCACCTTGGTCTGTGTATTTTTACTGGTTACGTTACCAAACGAAACCCTGTGATGTGAAGTTTCCGATGGTATCGAATAAACCAATCACAGTGAGCAGCGTAGCTGGTGTGGGAATCCGGTTGGCTGTGTTAAACGACTTGAACATATATGTCGCCTCGGAAGCGCGTGGACTCGAGGTAGACTCTGCAGGCTTCACACGTTGGCTGACAGAGCTAAGGTTGCGCACCCAAGACGCGGAAGTTGGTAGTACATTAGACTTACGGACCAGCATTTAATATTAATATCATCCTTGG